GCGTCAGCCAATAGAGATCTAATAAAGCAAAAAGCGTAGAGGGTTAGGCAAGAACGGTGGATACTCACTGATAGTCTCATCTACACTCAGAATCAAGCAAGCGGCCTCCACCGCGGCTTGGATGGCGTTGACCTTGACCAGACTAGGTTCCCACACGAATGCCACCATGTTATCACGGACGCCCTCGTTATCAAAGTCCACACCGGCCCAGACGTTGCCCTTGCGGTGCTCCACGCGCAAACGGTTCAAGATGTCAGTCGCATCGAAGCCGGCATTGTCGCACAGCTGACGAGGGATCACCTCCAGGGCCTTGGCGAATGCCTTGACAACGGCCTGCTGCTTGTGAGGCACGTTGCGGTCGGCGAAGCCGTGCATGTAGCTCGACAGCTCCATCTCAGTAGCACCACCACCTGCGACAATGGTCGTGTTCCGAAGAGCACGCTTAACAATCATGATGGCGTCATGCAAACTCCGCTCAACTTCTGCAATGAACTGCTCCGCACCACCGCGCAGCACAAGCGTACATGTCTTAGCGGCAGGGCACTCAGAGAACAGGTTGTAGCGTTCGCCACCAATCTGGCGCTCCTCAAAGATGCCGCAAGTACCCAAGTGACGCTCCTGGATGTCGCTGCATGTCGACTGTGTGGCTGCACCGGTTGCCTGGCACACTCGGTCCATATCGTCCGACGCAACACGACCGGCGCAGAAGATGTCACGGTCAGCGAAATACCTGAGATCACGGTTAGATAGACTAGTAACAGCAGGCGCATCACAGCCAATACGTACTGCGTAGCCAAATCACCGATGGGCAACTTGCTAAGAACAACCTTCGCCCCTGTCTTGTAGATAGCCTCCAACTTGTTGTAGATGATCTGCCATTCCGCATCGACGATGGCCTGGTATTCAGACACCTGCTCGACACGCACCTCGGCGTTGTCCTTTTCGCTCTTCAACTCCAGTTCGACGTTCAAGCAAACAATCTTGGGATCCTTGAAGTACTTCGGCTGCTGTTCGAAACCGGCATAAGAGAAGGTCTTCTTGAAGGCAACACCGTCGACAAAGAGGGAATCTTGCAGACCACCGCCAGTGACTCTCTTGATTCCAATCAACTTTTCGTTAAGATCATCCTGGTCGAGGGAGAGCACAGCATTCACCACCACTACACATAGTCAGTATCCGCTTCCGTCCAATCCCACAGGAGCCCTTACTCTTGGTGAAGAAGTCCGAGTTGCGCTTGATGAGCTTGCTGTTCATGGCGGTTCCGGCCAATCGTCGTAGAGTTTCAACCTTCTTCTCCTCGCTTCCGGCAGCATCGATCATGTCGACTGCGATTTCTTTCACCTTGTTGACGGCCATAGCACTTCCCCTCCGTAGACCCTTAATGATTGTCTGTGCGCTCACGCCTTGCTCAACCAGTTCACGAACTTCCTTGAGTATCTCACCGGCCAGAACAACGACCGATGTTGTTCCATCTCCTACTTCGGCATCTTGGGATCGGGCGATATCCGTAAGAATGCGGGCGGCGGGGTGCACGATATCCAGGAGCTAATTTAGTAATGTATTAGTATCACACCATCGATGGAAGTTAATCTATTGAACTCAGGTCGAACACACTTTCATTACTGTCGCTCCATCGTTCGTAATGGTCTGCTTGCCGTTGCCGTCGACAAGCAACAAGTCCCCTCCATATGGGCCGAGAGTGCTCTTGATGGTAGATTGCACGGCAACACAGGCATTGATATTAGAAATGATCTGACCCTTTCCTTGGGAGGCATCCGTGCCTAAGCAATTATGAATGGTGGAAAAGTCAGCGAACAAAACACGTCGGACACACAGTGGAGGGGGTCAGAATGCGGGCAAGAAACGGACCCTCCTTAAGCACAATGATAGTGGGTGCCTGGCCAGCGAAGGCCATTTTGATTAATTTATTTCGAAAAGAACCGACAAATAGGGCTGGTAAAGACCGGTCGAGAATATGAGACGCACGGGAGATGGAAAGTGACGCTGAAAGGTACCAGCTCGGGGGTGTTCAATAATGCTCTCGACCAAAATTTCCCCGAGCTTCTCGATGTCGCCAAAGCACTGAGGCGGTGACCAATCATACCGCGTCTCCGCAACCCTACAACCCCTCGAGCAATTTATACTAACTACGAAGTCAACCTGCCTGTGAGAACCGTTTATCGATCTATTACATATCATTTATGGCGTCACTTTCTATCATACTGCTAATAATACAGATATCCACCGCCGTAGTTATCCGATAATCCATAATACCGCAAGCCCAACTGATATAAACGCCGTCAAGAAATGCCGTAAAGATAATGCCCCAGAAAGAAAAAAAAAATGTAGAGAAAATCAAATCAGATAGATATGGGCTGGAAAACATGGGAAATAAAAGCTGTAAGCAGGCAGCCGTATCACGTAAAGTCCAAGTCATCATCTGGTTGTCCTACATACTGATACTTGGCCAGTATCTGTTCATGGTGATGCACATCACTGACTTGTGAATGTACTAGCCCAAGTGCATCCTGATGGAGTGCCGATCCAGGGTCTGGATCAGATGGGTCATCAACCATCATATGGTAATCACTAGCTGCATGATGCCGCACGTCATCATCAAAATGCGAGCTAGACAAGCCATGAGGGCCGTGCGTGTAAGGGTCGGTCATAGCATCATGGGTTTGGAATCTGGGAAGTTGCTGGTGAATATCAATGATTTGGGGGTCGAGAGGCATGACGTAGTCGCTGATGGAATCTACTGATCCTGGAACAACAGATGGATGGGTGGTGACAAAAGGATTCTGGCTTTGATGGGCATCCAGAGATACATGGTCCATGAGTGAGTTTGCTCCCATGTTCTCGCTAGTTGGCATACTAGGCTCGCTCTCGCGACTGCTTGTTTGATCCTCCTCTTCTGGCATATCTTCATTCTTGAAGAGTCCGTTGACTAAGGGCGATTTGAGGGTCTCCTTGCACTGGGGACAGTCTCGGATGACCCTGCTTACGGTCTCCTTGATCCGGACCCAATGGTACTTGACTGCAATGGCTGCTGTAGTCTTATTGATGCCAGCATGCTGCTGAACATGCATCTCCCGAGCGATATCGTACTGCTGTTGCGGATCCGACACTACCTCTTTGTCTTTTAGCATCAGCTTCTCAGTTTCGCCGTCTTGTCCCCCAACCAGCTTATAGTGGGTTGCTGCACTTCTAAGCCGGCTCTTCTCGGCCCTGTCGGCGCCCCTGGGGTATTTTGAGTGCTTCAGATAATACCGGATCTTGTCAAAGCGATCCTGGGTAACAGAGTCTTCACCCTCGGGCCCCAAATCCCGGCCGTATATGATCGCATCCACGTACTGCCCGGGATTAGAGGCGAGTCTACCACCTCCTGGTATTCTTCCGATCCGTTTGAACCCTAGAGAATCCCAAAGGCGACAGGAGGCAACATTACTCTCATAAACTATGTTAAACATGGCATATGTATAACCCTGCACATTGTCAGATATATGAGACTTCGGATACATCCGCAACCAATCGCAGAACGGTAAGACACTGGGCTAACAGAGCGTTCACAGAGGAATTCATCAGTGCAGTTGGTACTGACCAGTTTTGGAGCCCATTCTAGGTATCCTTCCCCCATCAGTCGGCCCACACCTCGATTTCGAGAGGCATCGGTGACAAGGAACATGCTGTTGCAGATATGACTACTACGGCCCGGGTAGTTTGGTCTGACAGTGAAGCTGCCCAGACAGATCTTGGGCCAATTCATTCCCGGCCTATCCATGGCTTTGACATCCTGCGTATTCTTGATATCCCCGAGGAGCATGATAGCACCGAAGTTAGAGAACCAATAGTGCTTAAACTCATTGTACGGGATAGGGTCAATCATAGCATAGGTGTCGCCCTTCTCAATCTCACTATTTAATTGGTCTGATAGGTAGCCCAACAGAGACGGAGGCACATCATCAGGCGACATAAAGGGTACCAGGGTCGCGACCGTAACGCGATCGCGAAGGGTAACCTGCCGAGGGTAGATATCCGGTAGCAGCTCCTGGTCCGCAGGCATCACCATAGACGCTAGATCCCCATGTACAGCAGGCATGTTGAAACCTTGGGCCGGCGAGCCGGTCACGGGACTGTTTACCATTATTAGTTGATTGAGCAAATATCAAGCATTGATTTAATCTGATGTGATTGCAAGCTGCGAATCGGTATATCACAAGTGTGAAGCGCTGGGATAATAGACCACACGGGACAGAAATAGCACGGAGGCCATCACAGAGACTACGAGTCAAGCAAGATACAGGAGGGACCCAGATAGGAAAAACCGTGGCAGGGACATTACCAGAACAGGGTCTAGAAGCACTGACTTTGAGGGCGAAATCGGAAACAACGTTTCTCCTTTAATACTTGATTGTCCCCGAGGGGCACTTCGAGGACCGCCGAGTATTCTGGAGTCCGGAATGATGTGAACGCAGCAGAGAAAACGTCGTCCCGCTGGCGGGCTTATGGTTGATCCGGGAGCGGCGATACTATCTATATTAGATGACTTTAATGCCTCAGGTATGAAATTCCCATTAGGGTTAAGTTCAGTCATCGGGGCCCACCAGGAGGGATCATGATCCAGGAAACTATCGCTGAACTATCTACAAACTACCGGCAATTTCATGATATAGCGAACAGTAGTAGACAAATCCATTACTCTATATTCCTTATAATGCAGAGCCCTATGTACGGAATGATACATCACCGTAACTCATCTGTCTTCGCAAGATAGTAAGTACAAAAACCGACAAAGTTTCCCTCTTCTCCACAGTACTATATATTTTGGACAGCTCACCTACCACTAACACTTAATAGGAGGAAGTACTCGTAAGGCATCTACGGCTGAAACTGGACAATCTTTCCCACATTTGTGAACCAACCAAACTCCCATAGGCGAGTAATCCCACACCCTAAGCTTCTTCCACAACTTGGGTATAATGAAACCACATGCCGCCATCATGAGTGCCCCTCAGTATTATCCAAACACGCTAGAGCCACTGCAGATAAACCAAGAGAATTTGCAGAAGGCTCTCCATGAATTTCGCGGGGCCGTTAATCATGGAACTCATCTGGTTCAGCAAGGCTGCCCTCCTTCAGCGGAGTGGGGTAGTGCCGGGTTGTACTTGGGAGTAGCAGGTACTGTAGACTCCCCATTCCAGAACCGACGACGTCAAACGTATACACATAGAACACCTTTGAAGTCTCTATAGTATTAACATTGCCTATCTCGCTGACTGCATCCCAGGGACCGCTCTCGCTTTCCTGAGGCTTGAGCGTCAAGCTTTATCCTTGACAGAGCCAGGCAAGGCTCCTATCGACTTCGGTAAACTAGCGAGGGAGCGGATAGTGCCACATGGACCAGACTTGCGTTTGAAACCAGGCTGGCTGTCGCCTCTGGGATCATTTTCCCCAGTAACAGGGGCCTTGATGCGTATCTTAGCAGCAGCGACGGATGGCAGTGTAATCTCCGATGCCGACATCACTTGTCTTGAAGATGCGGTTAAGCTGGCAATCCAGAATGGGCCCATGGTGCCCCAGGGAGATAAAATGATGGGAGGTGATGAGCTTATCTACGGTCGACCTGGATTGCTTTGGTCCATCCTCAATCTCCGGGTTCAGCACTTCGATGAGAACACAAGGAGGCGCCTACAACCTGTTTTCGATGCTCTACCTGACCTTATTGACGTGATAGTCGATGCCGGAAGACAAGGACAGAAGAATTATATCAAAATGCACGGAGAGAAGGATGCGCTGCCCCTGATGTGGTCGTGGAAGGAAGACCGATTTTATCTAGGCGCGTGAGTGTTCACCCCGGCCAATGTATCCCACCCCTCTCCCCGACGAAAAACTTAAAAGGCTCAACGTACTAACTGAAAGCCCAAGTGTTCATGGCATCGGTATGTACACAGAGAAAAGCAAGTTTCCCGCAGGTTTCTCGGAGCTAATACTTCGTAGCCGGTGTTCTTGCGATTATCCTTGCTTGTCATGCCGAGGAGGTCAATGATGACGCTTCGCACAAATATCTCCCTTGGATAGCGGGTACTATCACAGGTTTGTGCAAGATATGTATTGCTAATAACGGGCACCTTCCCACACGCATTCCTCCGTCTTCCCGTCATTCATCTCCACTTGTGCAGTTATGTCATGGTAGCCCTGGATTGTTGGTTCTCATGGCATGTGCAAGAAGAAGCCCATTGGTCATTGAGTACTGGGAACCCGAATGGGATGAAGCTATTCATTTAGCAGCTGAAAGCGTCTGGAGAGAAGGGCTGCTATCGAAGGGTGGCAGTTTGTGTCATGGCATTGCTGGAAATGCACTGCCGCTGCTACTCATGCACGACAGTTTTGAGTACGATGTGGAAATGATGCAGACAGCGAAGCGCAACTACATAAAGCGAACCGAGACAATCGAGACTAAACGCTTAGAAGACAATCTCTCAAGCGACTATTTCTTGTCTAGAGCGCTAACACTGCTGTTGCATGCGCGGGAGACGCCGCCTTACAGCAACTCGCCCGAGAACATCTATCGTATGCCTGACCGCCCGTTCTCACTGCATGAAGGACTAGCGGGTACGGTTTGTGCGTGGGCCGATGCTTGTGTGGCAATCCAAGCGAGACTGCGAAAGATAGAGATGGAGCTGGAGGGCAACGGGCCAGTCGTAGAGGCTACTTTGCAAAAAGACCCGACTTTCAAGGAACTAATGAACCGCCAGCTAGGGTTCCCAACCATCGCTCACCACAGACCGACAGGTCTGCCTTGAGTGAAATTTGGAGAACGCAAACCACCATATGAGGAAAGGACAACGGCGAAAGCAGATATTATATGCTATATTTGTGTTCCTAAAGCAACTCAGTTGGATATTCATCTGTAGCTGAACGCCGGTCTTACCCGAGATTCCACGTAAATAAAGATGGGAAGTGGTATTTTGTGTAATCGTATCCAAGCGTAATGTCGGTTCTATGTCCTCGTCATCGTCGGACTCGGAGAGGACAACAGTACGGTCCTAAACAAGACTAAATCCCGATCGATACATAGGAGGTTGGCCTGGAACTTCTGTCCTAAATTCGACACGCTTCGGCACAAAGTTGCCATGTGGTACCTCAACAGCCACCCTGAAGCGACGCCAGCAATTGTTGTATTGGTGAGACGACTCGCCGCAGAAAGTACAGCGCGTGGGCGTTGATCGCACATGGGTTCCTTGCGCTCTCGGCTCCGGCTGACTGTGGCTTCTCATCCTGGTCTTGCGCTCTTGTTCCCGACGCATCTGCTGAACAACATACTGATTAATCTCCTCTTGACTCGGCTTTTTGCTGTGCCGCCTAATAGTTCCATTGTGTCGTGGCGCCTTTTCATCTCGTTTCATCTGCTGCACAACGAATGCGTTTATCTCCTCCTGCGTAAGTTTTCGAGAATCCGAAGGTGCGTCAAGAGAAGAATGAGGTGTGCTTTTACTCCGCGCATGTTGGATATTTCTCTTCTTCCCCTTCATGACTTTTTCGTGTCTCATAGCCAACTCTGAAACCTCTTGGAAGGTCATTTTGTCAATCGGATTTGAAGAGTTCAATCGACTATTACGAAGCATATCCGTCGCCCAGCTCTTCCATTCTGGCCGTGTCTTTAGCTTATTAAGAAATAGGATATTGATTTGGGAGTCTGCGATCCGGAATTCTTCGTTAACTTGAGAAAGCCCTTCTCGCATTGCTTCAATGAGCTCAATGAGATCGGCGACTGTATCTGATTTTGCGGAGTCGAGGTCCAGTATCTCGCTGATCTGATGTAACATACGAGCATTTCGCTGCCAGATGTCCATTTTGACGAATCGTAAGCCAAGATTGGAGGTGTTGTTGGTGAAGCGTATTGAATATAGATTGGCCGGAGGCTCAGATGAGAGAATCTTGTTCTTTGTTTTTGCTTTTCTAATAGGAGAAATGACGTCAGGGGAAATTCATACGCTGGGCGTAATCTATTTACATCGTTTGCTGATTGGCGTAAAATACCGTACCGAGTAAAACACAGAGGAGATACTACTACTTGCAAGCATCTTATAATGATTTTAGTTCTCTAAACAATCATAAATATTGGAGGGTACCATATCTACATATTTTCACTATCTTTGTTTGATCGAGTAGTGTATCAAGAAGCTTATGGCTTCTGCGCCCAATACGAAAAGTGGCAGTGCTGGGTCTTTATTTGTGGATGATCATGGGGGCCGGTTTTTCTTGGCTCCCTGAAGCAATAATGGTGCACCTGACAATTTTTATATCGATATCTCTTCCTGACTCTGGCAGAGACATTTTGGATCTGAGATCCTACTATTACGATGCTATCTTATCCCAGGCATAGCATTATCATTCACTAAGCGGTAAAACGATGGATCTTGTGCCCCCATCTTACCAGTCCGCAACCACCAGGGATGCGTGGTCTTTTATTGCTACATATATCCCATCTAGCGACCTATGCGCAGCTACATTAGTATGTCGGAAATGGCATGCACTTTTTATGCCGTTCTTGTGGGGTGATCCTGCATCTCACTTTGGGACTGACAATGATGCCGTTTATGGTAATTCCACTGGACACACCATTCGTGGCCTGAGCTGACAAAATATCTGCATTGTAGTCGCCTTGACAAGGTTTAGGAGAACCCTGGTGTATGCCAGGTTGGAGGTGCGGATGCTAACACATACGCTTCATCTGCCTCCTGCTCTTTCAGAAATCTACGGAGGTCCGCGACCGGAATGGCTGAGGGAGATTCTCGAGTATTTACCATGCCTTCAGTCTCTGATTGTCTCTAAATTGCCGTTCTTTGACCATAATTCCATGGTAGCTTTAAGAAATAATACGAACCGCGAACAGGTCAACGAAGCAGTCCCTACATATAACGTTCGTCTGCTGTTGGCGGACCACGAACCTAATACAACCTCTCAGGGGCTTGCAGAGGCACTATTACGTTTTCAGGAACTTGTATATCTTGATCTGTCTTATACCACCCCAGCTCGAGATTGTAGTGTTCTATCTGCTTTATCTCAGCTGGAGCATCTCCAGGTCCTGAAACTACGGGGCATTGGGTTAAGAGATAGCGACGCAGAGTTCTTAGCTAATGCTATCGGTCTGAGAGTTCGCTACCTTGACTTGCGGGATAACAGGCTAACTGATATGGCTGTCCGATCTTTACTGCAAGCTTCTTTCCTATCACCAGGCAATCCTGCAGTCAGCCATGGCCCAGAGGTGGGAACGACAGCACCAGGGCCTTTCGCTCCAGCAACATCGCCACCGACCAATTCGAAATGGCTCAGTTGCCCTACGTTAGATGAGCAGTTCATGAAAGCATTAACACAGCCCTTGACAGGCCGTTCGTGGGTGGAGAACGTACCACATGCGGGCATTACACATCTATATATCGCAGATAACCGGATTACAGTCGAGGGAGCCGCAAGCCTTATAGCTTCATACCGACTTCACGCTCTTGATGTAGGAACAGTTGACACCGCCGAGTCAATTCGGGACTCGCGTGTTATATCCTCATATCAAAAAGACCCCCGAAAGCTTCCTGGCGCCGAAAAATTGATACCAATTCTGGGTTCTGCCGCGAAAGAGAATCTAACGTACCTACGTGCTCACCATGCAGTGTGCACCGCTGATGCCCCTTGGAAAGACCCTGTGTCATCGAATGGATTTGTAGCAGAACTTCCAGCTGAAAGTGAAGATCAAACCCCGGAGCTAGACGCCGCAAATATGATCCACGAGCTCCCCGCAGAGGAGGCTCCTGTTTTTGAGCTTGCGGGGTCACCAGTTCCAGAGGCGTGGAGAACAGAGTTTCAACGTGGACATGGTACGCAAGCGCCTATTTGTGAAAATGAGCCATTGCCCCTACGAAGAAGAGGTTCTGTTTTTGCCCCCGAGGTGGTTGAAACACCATATACCAGGACAGACGGTGATGCTACATCTATTACCATTAGTCCGCTCCATCCAGCCCAGGCTCAAGAAGGCTTAATCCCGACCAAGTCGGAGTTCGGCGAGAATACAGAAACGCCTGGTACAATCCCAAGATGTGCATCCCCCGGAGTGATGGACGATCCCAAAACCCAGAAAATCCAAGAACTCATTTCAAAAAGACCGAGGAATTCCGTCCTACCTCGCAAAGATTACAAGGAGAACAGCTTTCCGTATCTGCATCCTTCTTTTGTTCCCCATCTTGAGACATTGGTCTTGACTGATGTTCCATCCCATGTTCCCGCAAATTCCCCCATCCTGAGGTCTCTAATCCGCTTCATAACAGCCTGCTCACATGAGGCGTTGCTGGCAACGCTCCAAGCAGGGTCAGACTATTCGCTTCCTCCTGGTCGAGCTCGAGCCAAAGCTGAACAAGAACGATCTCGGTCACTGTTTGCGCTGCGGCGCTTGGTACTTGAAGTAACCCCTGTTGAGAGAACAACAGTCAAATTAACTGCATGGAAATCAACGAGCTACCAACAAGGGGCTTCAAAATCAAGCACTGGGGATCGAGATCTGGAGAAACTGTGGTCAGCAGCAGCGGACGACTTCAGTTTCTTCGGTGAGGACGAATGCGGGGTCCCAAACCATGATCCAGGGAGGTACTTCCCAATGGCTGCTCTCAATGAGAAAGTCACTTTGATCCCAGAAGATGATGATTCTGGAAACTCAGGGCATCCAACGCCGGTTGCTTCTGCGCAGAAATTACACCGTCCGGATTTTCCCTCGTCTTATGGCAGCCGTTCTCGTCCCTCTTCCATCGACTCTGGGCCAGCGCGGAATAACGGCCGCGTGGTTTCACCTCAAGCTGATGCTCCGGAGGTTGACCTCATCGCAGAATTGGCCGCTTTCAGGCGTTCAAAGAAAGCTGAATATGAGAATCTGTTGCGCAGGGACCGAAAAAGAAGGAGTACGATAGGCACAACGTCTTCGCTCCTATCTCCGTCGGGGTCGTTATCATCATTCGGGCCATTGTCGCCTTCTCCAAGCCTGTCCACTCTGGCAACAGCCTCGGCTCCTCAATTGGCCATGTCGCATTATGTGGAAGGATATTGGAAAGGCGAAGTGAAAATTGTCCGAAACCCCGCACCCAAAGGGCGGAGTGGAGTGGTTGATATGTATGGAAATTACTTTGAAAAAGGGTACCTATATCCTTAAGTCTTGTATGGAACATGTTGCCTCGCATGAAAGTTGGTTCTAGATCGCAAACATGTATTTACTCATCATATATGTTTATGTCATCAAGTTAGATACCCCAAAATAAGAACCCAACCGTGTAAGTCATGGCGGTGCACTTCTAGAGGGATCCCCCCACTGACAGCCTAACATAAGTATACTGGAACTACTCCGTATAGTGGGGCAAAGCAACTAGAAGTAGAGGCCACTAGGTCGATTTACAAGAATGGAAATGGGATCGTTTGGAGTATCTTGTCATTTTCTCTTTCAGTCGTTATGCGAGCTTGGATTCCCTTTCGTCACCAAGTCAGAATGTCGAAATACAATGGAATCTTGAAAGCCCCTGGCCGATCCATTTGGTGCATCGGGTTCCCGTCTCCACTGGGCTATATTCGTTTACCTTTTGTGAACAGTAAATGTTTAGATTTTGTTTTGTTTTATTTGCGTCTCCTGCCCACGGGCGACCCGTAATGCAAGCCTTCGACCCCAAAACTGAAACCCATTCATTCCATTTGAACCGAGTAAGAAAGTCTGTTCAGTAAAGAAACAAGAAAAGAAACAAGCCTTTTAAACTAATCCATTTTTCTCTTCTGTTTCCCTTCCTTACATAGCCTTAGCGGCCTGAGGGGGGCTCAGCTTCTTGCCGTCCTTGTTGTACCTGATGCGAGGAGGGGGGGCACGGTTGCGACGACCTTCCCGGGAACGGACACTGTGAGAGGGATTTCCGTCAGCTTGGTTCAATCTTCCTAGTGGTCCATAAAGGTCGCCAGTCTATCAAAAGTCGGGGTTGAATGCGTACCGAACAATCTTGCCGTGGATAGCGCAGGAGACGCAGTACTGCAGCTTGAGGTACATCTTGGGGACGGCATAGTCGGTGAAGACGGAGGCGTCAGAGATATCACCTATACAGTAAAAATCGTCGAGTCAGTCCCAGTTGCGTTTGCAAATCGTATCCCATCAATTCGTGCGTGCTGTTGCCGTCTGCGTTCATAACTCCTTCCCCAGTTCCAGACTTCGATTCCAGCTCTTCCGAACAACAGTGCGCGGCGAATTTGGGTTTCAATTGCGGGTATCAGGTTCGAACATACGGATGGCAGCGGACTCAACCATGTTGCGGATAGTGAATCTCTTGATGGCCTTGTCCTTGGGGACGCAGCGAGCGCAGTTGGAGCAGCGCACGGGCTTGGTGTGGCCGCGGCCGTTCTTGTTACGACCGCTGTAGAACTGTCAGTTTTGCTGATTCCAGAAATTGCCCCTTTCCGTTTTCCGTTCTCTTAACACAAAAACACTCGTCGGTAACCGGGTTCCCACGGCCATGTAGAATATACCGGAACCGTAGGCGTCATATCAAAAGGCACGCATGTAATGAAATCGGACGGGTATAGGAGATAGGGTCGGTCCTTACTTGTTCGCCCTCTTCTTGACCATCTTGACGGCTTTTCTCTGGAACTATGGGTCAGAGAATGAAGAGTCAGGGGGAAGGGGAAGGTTGTCGCGTACTTGGCTTGTCGGGTTTGGTTGTCGTGAAGCACCGGAAGACTCGTGATGAGGTTGTGCGAGGCCGGTCATGTGCAAAAGCCCTATGCCCTTAAGCGAGGCCTAGTCACGGGATGTTACGTGCCTGAGGCGGAATGCGGGAGGTCTTTCTGCCTGAGGCAAGAAAAGAGTCATTCTGTCCGCGGAAGTGGCCTGAGGCGCCCAGACAAGGATGAGGACGTATGATGTGTTCACGTGCCGATCCTCCCGTCTTACTTGAAAGCCGAGAATCTTACGATACACCAATACGGGTACTTTGTTTACTTTACCCGTTCATCATAACAGGGCAATCGTCCCATTTTCTGCCGTAAACTAACAGCTAATAGTTCGTCCACCCGACTGAGTCTAAACCCACTCGAGACCCCCTGTCTGCCCGTAACTTTCTCGTTGGCGTTCAATTTATCGTCTCTCTTCCCTCTCTTCCCTTGCTTTGACCTGTTCTGGTTTATCGTGAACCTGTTCAGTCTTGAGGGTACTAGTACATATCACTACTAAATACTCCGTACATACACACCTGTCTCCGCTCTCCTTTACTCCCCAATTCCCTTCATCTCCTGTACCCTCTCCCCTCCCACACCCACTCACCATTCACATTGCGTAACCGTACCTACAGTACTGTTGGTTGGCAACATGTCGGCCACTGGAACGTACAGGGGAACTATGGCTGGCCACAAGACTGTGGGCAGAGGTAGGCTGCCCGACTTCGATAGTCCGGCATCCCACATTCCGCGTCCTCGGCCTGAGACCGCTACTTCTTCCACACCCAATCCTAACACTGCCTCCAGCGACATTGGAAGTTCAACAATGAGTGCTGCCAGCAGACAAAGACAGAACCAGTCAAAGCGAGATGAGGTATGGTCTTTCTCCCTTGGTTACGCCGTGTGACGCTTTATAGCTACAACGGAGCTTGAACTTTTTAAGCACGTCCTCTGTATCCCATCCCTCTTCACCAATTTTTTTCCCTTCCCTCTTGCACCTATTACCCTTTTTCCCCCCTCTGTCTCCAAACCAACCCATTGTAATTTAAGATGGGGCAAATCGTTATACAACTCTCTACTCCTATTCTAACACCCCAATCAGGCTATCCGCCGAAAGATGGAGGCGGACCTCAACAAGAAGAAGCAAGCCCCGACAAGGGCGCATCGTTCTCGGAAAGCTCCGCCAGGAACCGTTCTCGCCCTGAAACCTAGCCAAGCTCTTCAGATTAAACCTAACATGACCATTGCGGAGGCCGCTCAACTAATGGCAGCAAAGCGGGAGGACTGTGTTTTGGTTACCGACGATGATGATCGCATTGCCGGAATTTTCACTGCTAAGGATCTCGCGTTTCGTGTGGTGGGGGCTGGCCAAAAAGCTCGAGATATTACCGTCGCCGAAATCATGACCAAGAACCCTCTATGCGCGAGAACCGATACCAGTGCTACCGATGCACTCGACCTCATGGTTAGGAAGGGTTTCAGACATTTGCCAGTTATGGATGAGAACCAGGATATTTCTGGTGTTCTCGATATCACGAAGTGCTTCTACGATGCGATGGAAAAGTTGGAACGCGCATACAGTTCGTCCCGCAAGCTATACGATGCATTGGAAGGTGTTCAGACGGAACTCGGCTCCAGCCAGCCTCAGCAGATCATCCAGTATGTCGAAGCCTTGCGTTCGAAGATGTCTGGTCCAACTCTCGAGACTGTCCTTGATGGCCTGCCGCCCGTTACAGTCTCCGTTCGCACGTCTGTGAAGGAAGCTGCTGCTATGATGAAGGAACACCACACCACCGCCCTTCTGGTGCAGGATCAGGGCTCGATCACCGGTATATTCACCAGCAAAGATATCGTACTGCGTGTCATTGCTCCTGGTCTCGACCCGTCGACATGTAGTGTGGTTCGCGTCATGACTCCTCACCCTGATTTTGCGCCCGCCGATATGAGTATTCAAGCCGCGCTACGGAAGATGCACGGTTAGTTATAGCCCATTGGATTTCCAAAGATACTGTCTCTAATTTTAGATTGTCGCAGACGGTCACTACTTGAATCTACCAGTTATGAACGAGACGGGCGAGATTGTTGGTATGGTCGATGTGCTGAAACTCACATATGCTACTCTGGAACAGGTTAGTAAATGATTTTTCACCTGCAATAGGCGCAGAGTATCTAACTGGATTTCAAGATCAATTCGATGTCGACGCATGATGATGAAGGCCCGGCATGGAACAAGTTCTGGCTGTCTATGGACCATGAATCCGACTCGATGGTGTCTGGTAGCCAACAGCCCAATAATCGGTCAGTACTCAGTCCTGAGTCTCCGAAGGCTAGTTATGACGCCAGAGACAGTGTGCTTCCTAATGAGTCTGCTTCTCACCATGGTGGCGATGAGCACTCCGAATACATCGATCACCATCATCATCATGGCGAACCTGTTCCGTTCCCCTTCAAGTTCAAGGCGCCAAGCGGCCGCGTTCACCGTGTTAACGTTCTCCCTTCTGCGGGTATTGCTGATTTAGTTGCCCAAGTCACGGCCAAGCTAGGATCTGAGGCGGACGCTGTCGGCGGTGCGGCAACCTGTGACGAGGGTAAACTTAGCAACACAGGTTATGCCTTGAGCTACTTGGATAATGAGGGAGACACTGTTTCTATTACCACTGACCAGGACCTTGCTGATGCAGTTACTCTGGCACGGCAGTCCCGTCGGGACAAGGTTGATCTCTTTGTCCATGACCCGACGCAACCTCCAATTCCTGCTACTGTCGAACCCCAACCCGCACCTGTCAAGCCTGTGGAGGAGAAGACCTCTCCAGTTCCAGAGGATCAGTTGTCGGAGGAACCATATGTGCCAAAGCCCCGGTCTCAGACGTTCTCCTCACATCACCAAGAAGAGCAATTCATTGCCGGAGTACCTAACGACTTACTCCTTCCTGGTGCGATTGTCACACTGGCGGCAGTCATTGCGGGTGTTTTCGTCCTGAGTCGGGCCACTTCCCGGTAAAGTGTGTCTAGCGAGCATTGTTTGATATAGTTGAATCGGTGGGATTGTTGTATCTAGTTCTTTTGTCTTTTCCTCAGTGTAACCCAAGAGCGCTATTTCTCCGCTTTTTTTTTCTTTTGGCCATCGTTTAGCTGTCTGCATTAATTTCTGATATTGACTGTTCGGATACCGCTGTTGTTATTAGTGAGAGCATAGTGTGATTTACAGCGTATAGAAAAAGATTTGGGTTCGTTTTCAGGTTTTCCACCAGCATAGTATATTCAAAGGGATTTAGTTACTAGTACCCTAGATCGGTAGAGCACGAATGTTTGCAATCCTACTGGTTGCTAGTCCGTAAATTGGATGCTGACAAGGTTGAGTTGTTGGTTCTGCGGTGATGCCTTGATGCCTGGGATTGCCCTGTTTGGGTCTAGCGCGGCGCTGCCTCGAATTGCTGGAATTTTTTGGGTTGGACTTTTGGTTGCTCAGTTCCCTCATCCCACATCCATTATTCGCTCCCTCGCGAACCTCTAATTCTCCCCTCCAGTTCATCTGCAGCTCTGGACCCAGCTGGGATGCTGAGCCTGCGTTTGAGCTGTGTGTTTTCTTGAGAGATAATCCATTTACTGATCGTCTTGAGTACGGGTCTTTTGACACTACTTCCCCCTCTATATTCCCCCCACCAAAACAATTCCAGAAAAATCCTATCTAACCGCTACCCCACTCGCCGCCTGGGTTCAGCACTGAGCCCGCATTTGAACGTCTTCCTGGATCGCGACTTCGTTTGTTCCGTTCGGTTGGACCCTTCAGCTTAAGCAGACGAGATGTCTTTGCTACCCCCCGAGGTCCACTCCGCGCTCTCGCAGCTGCTGCGCGCCTTGACCACCCCGGATAACACGGTCCGTACACAGGCGGAAGAACAGTTGAATAATGATTGGATTCAAGGTCGTCCGGATGTCCTTTTGATGGGCTTGGCGGAGCAGATTCAAGGCGCAGAGGAACTAGTAGTAAGTGCCTCGACTCGGAATACAAGGGGGAAGGTCGCATGAAAGCGCCGAGACGGATCACCTTGCTCCAAGGCCTCCTCCTCCACAATCGGTCCTCATCCTCATTCTTATTGATTACCACAGACACGTACATTCGCTGCGGTGCTGTTCAGGAGAATATCTACCAAGACACGGAAGGACCCTGTCACAAATGAAGCCAAAGAGCTCTTCTCAACACTTACTGGAGAGCAACGCCTGGTCATTCGACAGAAGCTGGTTACTTGTTTGACGACTGAGACTGTGACGGATGTCCGGAAGAAGATCGGCGACGCAGTGGCTGAGATTGCGAGACAGTACACCGATAACGGTATGCAGCCTAGACGACCTGGGAAATCCTAGGATTGACGAATGACTTTTCTAGGTGACCAATGGCCTGAGCTTCTCGGGGTTCTTTTCCAGGCCAGTCAATCCCCCGATGCTGGCTTGCGTGAGGCTGCCTTCCGCATTTTCTCGACCACCCCCGGAATCATTGAGAAGCCCCACGAAGACGCCGTTCAGGGTGTGTTCGGCAAAGGTTTCAAGGATGACGTTGTGTCTGTACGTTCAATCCTCAGTATCGGCTGGTGGAATATCAGTTTTTTTGACCGTCTATTTGCAGGTGCGCATTGCTGCCATGGAGGCTTTCGCTTCCTTCTTCCGCTCGATTTCGAAGAAATCCCAGCCCAAGTTTTTCCAGCTCGTGCCAGACCTCCTCAACGTTTTGCCTCCGCTGAAGGAATCGTCCGAGAGCGACGAGCTTTCCGCGGGATTCTTGGCCCTCATTGAGCTGGCTGAGATTTCTCCCAAGATGTTCAAGAGCGTGTTCAACAATCTGGTGAAGTTCAGTATCAGCGTAATTGCCGATAAGGATCTTAGTGATCAGGTTCGCCAAAACGCCCTGGAATTGATGGCCACATTTGCAGACTACTCTCCCAACATGTGCAAGAAGGACCCTGAATTTGCACAGGAGATGGTGACCCAGTGTCTGAGCCTCATGACTGACATCGGTATCGATGATGATGACGCTTCCGAGTGGAACGCATCTGAGGATGTAAGTTGTCCATGCTCACTGTGTACCACATATTCTGACCCGTCTAGCTTGATCTGGAGGAGAGCGACCTCAACCATGTGGCTGGAGAACAGTGCATGGACCGTCTGGCAAACAAGCTTGGTGGACAGGTCGTCCTTCCCGCTACCTTCTCTTGGGTTCCCCGGATGATGTCTTCGTCAGCCTGGCGTGATCGCCATGCGGCCCTTATGGCTATCTCCGCTATCTCAGAAGGCTGTCGCGACCTGATGGTTGGTGAGCTGGACCAGGTGTTGGCACTGGTCGTTCCCGCTCTCCAGGACCCCCACCCTCGTGTCCGCTATGCAGGCTGCAACGCCTTGGGTCAGATGAGCACCGACTTTGCTGGCACAATGCAGGAGAAGTACCACGCGATTGTGCTTAACAACATCATCCCAGTGTTGAACAGTGCCGAGCCTCGCGTCCAGGCCCACGCTGCCGCGGCGCTGGTCAACTTCTGCGAAGAGGCTGAGAGGAAGGTCCTCGAGCCCTACCTTGCCGAGCTTCTGCGCCATCTTCTGCAGCTCCTGCGCAGCGACAAGCGCTACGTTCAGGAACAAGCTCTTTCCACTATTGCTACGATTGCCGACTCTGCTGAAAATGCGTTCGATCAATATTATGATACCCTGATGCCTTTGCTCTTTAACGTATTGAAGGAGGAGCAGTCCAAGGAATACCGTCTTCTGCGTGCTAAGGCTATGGAATGTGCTACCCTGATTGCGCTGGCTGTGGGTAAGGAGAAGATGGGACAGGACGCTCTGAGTCTAGTGCAGTTGCTGGGCAACATTCAACAGAACATCGTCGATGCGGACGACCCGCAGTCGCAGTATCTGCTCCACTGCTGGGGCCGTATGTGCCGGGTCTTGGGCCAGGACTTCGTTCCTTACCTCCCTGGTGTTATGCCCCCTCTCCTCTCCGTTGCGGCCGCCAAGGCGGACATTCAACTGCTAGATGATGAGGACCAGATTGACCAGGTTGAGCAAGATGAAGGCTGGGAGTTGGTGCCTTTGAAGGGCAAGATCATCGGCATCAAGACCAGCGCGCTGGAAGACAAGAACACTGCCATTGAGTTGATCACCATCTATGCTCAGATCCTGGAAGCTGCCTTTGAGCCGTACGTGCTCGAGACTATGGAGAAGATTGCCGTGCCTGGCCTTGCTTTCTTCTTCCACGACCCAGTGCGGGTCTCCTCGGCTAAGTTGATTCCTCAGCTCTTGAACTCGTACAAGAAGGCCCACGGTGACCAGTCCCCTGGGTTCGCACAAATGTGGAACAAGGTGGCCGAGAAGATCATCGAGGTGCTGAGCGCGGAGCCCACGGTTGATACCCTGGCAGAAATGTACCAGTGCTTCTACGAATCCGTGGAGGTTGTGGGTAAGAACTGCCTCACCCAGCAGCACCTGCTCACCTTCATTGAGTCGGCCAAATCGACGTTGGAGGACTACCAAGTCCGTGTCAAGGCTCGGCTGGAGGAGCGTGCTGAGGCCGAGGACGGGGAGGAGGAGAACCTGGAATACGAGTACGCAGTGGAAGATGACCAGAACTTGCTCAGCGATATGAACAAGGCATTCCACACGATCTTTAAGAACCAAGGCACATCTTTCCTGCCCACGTGGGAGACTTTGATGCCATTCTACGATGCGTTCATCACAAGCCAGGACCCGACGCAACGCCAGTGGGCTCTGTGCATTATGGATGATGTGCTGGAGTTCTGTGGGCCCGAGTCGTGGAAGTACAAGGACCACATTATGCAGCCGTTGGCAGCAGGGTTGCAAGACCAGAACGCAGCCAACCGCCAAGCAGCCGCATATGGTGTGGGTGTTGCCGCGCAGAAGGGTGGCGCCGCCTGGAGCGATTTCGTTGCGGCCAGCCTTCCCAGCTTATTCCAGGTAACACAGTTCAACCAGTCCCGGACAGAGGAACATGTGTTCGCCACCGAGAACGCATCCGCCAGTATTGCGAAGATCCTGCATTACAATGCAAGCAAGGTGCAGAACCCACAAGAGGTCGTGGCCAACTGGATTACGACCCTGCCAATCACATTCGATGAGGAGGCGGCTCCATATGCCTATTCATTCCTGGCTCAGCTCATTGACCAGTAAGTTACTATTTTCATGCTTGCACCAGATCGCGCTAACTCATTATGCAGACAAAACCCCACTGTCATGTCCAACGCCGACAAGGTGTTCGGGCACATCGTCCAGGCTCTCGAAGCAGAGACCTTGCAAGGACAGACGGCCGCCCGGGTGGCCAACTCGGCGAAGCAGTTGGTGGCTACGACCGGACTTAACGCAGATCAGATCCTGGCTGGTGTGAACCCAGACAACCAGGCGGCAGTTCGGAGTTATTTCCAGTAGATTGGGATGATTGCAGGGAATGTCTATGATATGGATTTTGTCGATTTACTTTTTACGAGCCTATAGCGTCTACGGACTTTAGGGATGTCATTAAATGAGATTATTGCAGATACACACAACCCGGTTTTTCCTCATCCATATATACAGGAGTCGATATATAAAGTATATGTACCAGTACCAAGTAAAATATCTACTCAACCACCATCTCCAGAATCTCTAATATCTGACTCTTCTCCGTCAACGGCACCGGATTCGTCTTACACCACCGATCCTGCAAACTACTCTCGGCCAGCCGATCCAGCTGATCCCGACCGACCCCAACATCCTTCAACGACCGAGGCATCCCCAACTCCCGAATCACCGCGTCCAACACATCCCCCAGATCCACCTTCGTCACATCCAAACCTCTCCTCTCCAAAACCTCCCTAACAACCCCCTGTCCCAAAAGAAACCCCTTCACCCTCTCCTGCCGCTCCCCATTCGCTCCATGCCGCGCATTAAACTTACAAACCGCCGGCAAAAGCACACAACTTGTCTCCCCATGCCCAACCCCCAACGGTCCCAATTGATGTCCAATGCCATGGCTAGCCCCCAACTGCACTCCCGCCGTACAAGCAGCCATAGCGTCCACCGACCCCAGCTGACACTGCAACCTCGCATCCACATCCCCCTTATCAAACCTGCACCCCAGCAACCCGGGCACCAAAAGCCCCAACGCATGCAACGCAAGCCGGTCTGTCTTCTCGCTCGTATGCTCTACAGCGACGAACGTCTCGATGCAATGATCCACCGCTCTGATCCCCGTGCTGAGCCAGATGGAATCGGGGGTCGTGGTCGTGAGAGCCGGGTCTAGAATCACGAGTTCGGGACTTGATCGGGCTCTGGAAGGTATGCTTGCGCTTCGTGGCATCGTTGGTTGCGCCGGCGAAGTTGGAGTATTCGCCTGCGGAGAGGGTTGTCGGTATACTGATGATGGGGATGTGTGGGGCGTGGATCGTGGCTTGTTGGGATGGTGTAACGGGGAGTTTGGAGAGGTCGGTTGCTGTGTGGACGTCGTTCGATAGGGCCTTTTGTGTTTGGCATTAGTTGGTTTGTCAATTTCTTTGTCATACATATAACTAGTGATCCGACAAATGACTCTATGAAACGTCTTTACTACGGAAGATCAAAGCCAGGTAAGGAATATATAATCTCACCAAAGTAACAACCTTCGCTCCATCCGTCAGGCTCCCCGCTCCAATCGTTAATATCAAATCGGCTCCGCTGTTTCTTGCTTCGTCCACGATCTCGAGGACCTCGGACCAATATGTATGGCTCCGCATGCCGATGCGGATCCCCACTATCTTGTCTTTTCCGATGGAGGTGCTCAGTCGGTCGAGTACGTCTGTGTTCCGGGATAGGGAGCCCGAACAGATTATGTAGACTCGGGAGGCGTGGAAAAGGTCATTTATGTGTTTGGCGGCGGCGGCTTCGAAGGGCACGCCATAGGAGAGGAGCGGGCGGGGTCGGTCTGCGAAGGCGGTGCGAAGGGTTTCCATTTTCTTTTCTTTCTTTTTGTGTTGGGTAGCTTGAGATGGGTTGATGTTTGGGTAGTTTTCTTATGGTATGTGGTGGTTGGAGTTGGTTTACACGGTGCCTGGACTGTGTATAAATATGCGCTATGAAGTCAGCTCGATGTAAACAACTGTGGAGGTGGTGGGGCTGGTGGGGGCGGAGCGGAGTGGAGGAGGTCTTGGTATACGCAGTAGAGGTAACAGTATAATATCAATAGTATGAGGAAATTTTCACATTGACATAATTAAACAACAGATTTGGTATATGTACAATCTAATTAGACTTTCCCGCCTTTTGCGCCAACAAGTTCAATGCACTTCCTGCCAGGATGAACGCACACTGATCCGGGCTCAGAGTGTGCTTCACCGGGATCTCAACCGCCTCGCCGTTCCGCTTGGTCACCTGAAGCTTGATCGAGCCCTGTCCGCCTGCCTGCAGGGTTTCATACAGTCCGACCGTGTCGACCTTGTCGCATGCGTCAATGCGGTCGTAGTCAGCGGGGTTCTCGAAGGTCAAAGGCACGACACCCTGCTTCTTGAGGTTGGTCTCGTGGATACGGGCGAAACTCTTAGAGAGAATGACACGTCCACCGAGGTAGCGAGGCTGCAATGCGGCGTGCTCGCGAGCGCTACCCTCACCGTAGTTGTCCTCAGCGACCACCAGCCACTCGGTTCCCTCTGCCTTCCATTGGGCGGCCAGGTCGGGGATTGAATACTGTTTGCCGGCCTCGTCGTAGGCGACGTTGGTCTCGCCAGTTGCTGCGTTGACGGCGCCGATCAAGGTGTTGGCGGAGATATTAGGCAGGTGACCCTTGTACTTGAGCCATGGGCCCGCGGCGGAGATGGTATCCGTGGTGCACTGGCCCTTGACCTTGTACAGCACCTTCAGACCGGAGAGATCTCCCTTGGGGAAGGGAGCAAATGGCTCCAGCAGAGCCAATCGCTCGGAAGTGGGCGACACAACCACCTCGCAGCTCGGGTCGGGGGCCGCCGCAGTGGGCTTGAACTCGGGGTTGCCGTCTTCGAAACCATCAGCGGGCAGCGCAGAGCCAGTCGGAGGCTGGAACCGGAACTCTTCACCACTCGGGGTCGTCAAGCTGTCGGTCATAGGGTTGAAGGTAGTACGGCCAGAATATGCCAGCGCTGTGACAAGCTCGGGGGAGGCGAGGAAGTTCATTGTCCGGCGGTTGCCGTCGTTACGGCCAGGGAAGTTGCGGTTGTACGAAGTGAAGATAGCGTTATCCTCGCCTTTAGCGACGCCATCAGTCCGCTTCCACTGACCAATACATGGCCCGCATGCATTAGCCAGGACAGTACCACCTGCAGAGGCAAAAGTTGAGAGCGTCTGGTCACGGTCGAGGGTTGCCCGGATCTGCTCACTGCCTGGGGTGATAAAGAAATCAGACTTGGGCTTGAGTCCCGCAGCGGAGGCCTGCTTGACAAGGTCCTCAGCACGGGTCATGTCCTCGTAGGAGCTGTTTGTGCAGCTACCAATCAGTCCAGCTCCGAAGGTTTCGGGCCAGTTCTTCTCGCGAACGGTGTCGGCGAAGGCGGAAAGTGGAACCGACAGATCCGGCGTGAACGGTCCGTTGATGTGTGGTTCCAACGTCGACAGGTCAATGGTGATCAACTGGTCATACTCGGCACCGTTGTCGGCACGCAGAAGGTTCTTGGGACCCGAAGCGGCAATCTCCGCGGCCGCCTTAGCGACATCTCCACGGTGCGTCGCCTGCAGATACGGGATCATGCTGGGAGAGAATGGGAACACCGAAGTGGTAGCACCCACCTCAGCACCCATGTTGCAGATAGTAGCCTGGCCAGTGCAGCTAAGAGTTTCCACACCCGGTCCGTGATACTCAATGATGAAGCCAGTTCCTCCACGGACGGTGAGCTTGCCTGCCAAGTGCAAGATAATGTCCTTGGGAGCAGCCCAGCCGTTCAGTTTACCCTCCAGTCGCACACCCAAAACGCGAGGTGCCTTCAACTCCCAAGGAGCATCAACCAACGCATCCACGGCATCAGCACCACCAACACCAATGGCGATAGCGCCGAGACCACCCGCATTCGGAGTGTGGCTGTCAGTGCCTAGCATCATCAATCCAGGGGCGGCGTAGTTCTCTAGGACGCTCTGGTGAATAATACCAGCACCGGGGGCCCAGAATTCGATACCGTAGCGTTTGGCCGCGCTCTCCAGAAAATCGAACACTTCACTATTACCCTTGATCGACGCAGGCAAATCGGTGTCGGCACCACGCTCACCCACAATCATATGGTCGCAGTGAATACTAGCGGGCACTGCGGTCGACGGAAGACCGCACGACATGAACTGCAATAGAGCCATCTGTGCTGAGGCATCTTGCATCGCCACACGGTCCGGCTTCAACTTCAGATTCGCCTTGCCGCGAACATCACGTCCATTGTCCGTGCCGGTCAACAATGACTCCTCGGGATTCGCCAGATGGGCGTAGAGGATCTTCTCCGCAAGGGTGAGTGCTCGCGACGAACCCAAGACACGACGGACTTCCTCCAAGTTGCGCAGGATTTTGGGGTAGGGGGGCATGCGAGAGGACACCGAGGAAGCCTCCGTGGCCAGACCGCGGCGGTTGAACAGCCCTTGTGGGGGAAGGCACTTCGGAGCCAGCTATGATTCATAGCGGAGGTTAGTACACGGGAGATGTATAGATCATCGAGGAAGAGGCAGCCATTGAGGTTACTTACCTGCGAGAGGCGGTGGCCCGCTGCCAAACAAGCTGCCTCACCATCGTGCCGCCTGAATGTAACCTGAAATGAATTGGGGAAGAAGAAAAGAAGGACATGAACTGAGTTCGATGGCGACATTATTTTATTTTGGCCATCGGCTGCCTTTTACCTCCATGCTGATTGGACAACCCCGGCGCCGATGCCGGGCCGACATTCCAAAGGATCCATCTTACCGTACTGTACTCGGGGCCCCATCTCTCGACTGCCGAAGTCCCGCCAGTTTTCACGTATGATACCGTATTACCCACTTGATAAGTTTTGACATTAGTAGATTTGATGACAACTACTAGTAGTACCAACATGGAGCAACAACACAGTTTGCAATGCGCCAGACAAAACGCCGATAAAATACGAGAAGAGCAAACAGCCTCACGATCGCCGAGATCGAACAAACCAAGTTCGTCCCAAGATTTCCTCCAGATCGCCATTAATACATGAGAAATGGTTAAAAAAAAAAAAAGAAAGAATACCAAATCAGGCATTCCGGTCCTCATCTTCTTGCACGGCCGCCCGCAGCTCCCATACAATATCGTAACATTCCGCTAATAGTGAATTCACACTGCCCTGTCCCTCGGGGATGTCGCTGCCCACGTAGAATTTCCCATCTACTCGCATATTATCAATGGAGTTCAGCTGGGTCATATTAGCACTGTTTCGTGCACCACGAATGTCCCAAACCCCAGACTTACCTTCATACTATATGGGTAAAGTTCACGCGAATTCGCCACGCCGCCAGACTCCTTAACCTCAAGGAGGCAGCGCTTCAGCGTTTGGAGCTGGTTATACACCGGTAACAATGCCTCAGATACCGGTTCTGACGAGATTAGAAGTGCATAGATGTATCCATAGCTCCTCCTGATCAAGTACAGAAGGGTCTACATGTTCAAGTTAGCACACCTGTGATTGTTGAGATGTGCTGGACCCTTACCCGTTGCGCATGAATATCCGCCAATTGTCCTTCCGTATCGACAAAGTTTCCATTCACACGTGCCTCATCAATACGGTCGAGTTTTCGTTGAAAGCCGAACAGATCGGTCTCGCGGAGAGACCACGCTTGTGTTACAGACAGCCGATCAAGTTGGTTGCGAATGTCAACCAACCGCTCGTACTGGTCTTGGAACCGCTCATCAATCTTTCCCTCCTGTCGGGGATTAGCAGAGAAATAATAGGATTTGGAGAGACGTACCGTTGCAGAACAATCTCCGTCCACTGCCAGCATCGTTCTAGTAAGCCTTTCACATTTTCCTGTCCAGAGAGAGGTTGCCCATCAGCGCCAACAAAATTGCCGTCTTTCAATGAATCCTGGATCTTCTTCAATTGATCCCGTAGCCCATTCACCTCCGACGCGGAGAACTAACATACACTTGGTTAGAAACAGCGGATGTGTAGGACTAAAAGGTGCACACCTTTGAACGAGTGTTGACGGCAGAGGTTGACCGCAGGATTGACACAAGTGTCTCATGAGTAGACACAAGTTCGGGGCTCAGCTGCGCAAGATCACCCTGCAACTTGTCTAATAAAAGCCGGCACTTCTCCAGTCGGCTCTCTAGAAGTGTCAATAAAGCGGGGGAGTATGCATTGCGACAGCGGTCGATGGTTTCGTCAACATGAGCGAGAGTCTTTGTGATGGAGCTGAGGTCTTTAGAACTGTAGAAGCCAGCCTCTTGCAGGTGGTCAAGAAGTCGCTATTTGTCCGTTAGAAAGCGGAAGAAACGGAAGAATGTATTTTGTCTCCAATTACCTGAACTGTAGTTGCCAAGGAATACCTTCAGCGCAATCGATCGTCAGTCTCTATCAGATCCGATCAACAGCATGTTATCAGGAGGCACGTACACTGCAGGTGCCTCATTGTTCCGACCAACTGTCAAGAACAGTAACGAGATCAATTGAAAGCAATCATCCAGTACATAGTCAACTAGAACCTCGGGGAAGTGGCAACAGTCAGCAAGCCTGTTCTCATACAACTTACACTTAACGCAAGGCCCACTCAGTGCTAACGTCGGTTATGTGGCAGCCGGCGGTCTTTCCCCTTCCGAACGGCATTGAGCTTTTCCACCTCTGAAATCACCTCCTCGTATAGCGGAAGCACGTCGCGAGACTTGATGTAAGAGGACTTGTCCTGCTTGATAAGCAGGAGAGCGTCGCGGGTGCGCAGCAGACGGTCGAGAATTGGCTGTTCTTGCGGATCCAACGGAGCGGGGACGGCGGGGGAATCCATGACGCCGGAGCGGGACAATGTAGAGTGTACGAGGTGGTGTGGGTGGGAGAGAAATATCAAGTGCTAGATCGGTGAGGGATAGAACGGAGTGGTACCTGTATTTCGGAAATAATAAAACGCGAGAGATATACGGAGATATTTCGATCTAGAGACTAAACTGCATCATGCGGATCAGATGCACTCAGACGATGATGGCATGGATTGCCTATTCGGGATTAGTGAAAAGTCACGGGAGGGGCGTTGGCGCTAAGCCAGAACAAGGCCCTAAGCGAGCCCTAGGTGCACACAGTACCAGTTCCGCTCTGGGCCTCTACCGGACTCTCAAAGATAGGCCGAGTTAAAAGTCTCCCGTCTTCTTCTCTCTTTCCTATACCCATCCCTCTCGAGACTCCAGTCCAGTCAACGACCCCATCGACCACCATGTCTACTGCCGAGCTCGCTTGCTCCTACGCGGCCCTCATCCTCGCCGATGATGGCGTCGAGGTCACCGTACGTATTATCCTTGGATTTTGAGTTGGCATTGTGGGAAATCGATAGAACAACATGAGGTTGTCGCAAAGAGGTGGAAAGCTGCGGGAAATCTTGAATGCTGGGAGATGAAAATTTTTGCATTGGGAATATAGGCTGATCGTGTCTCTTACTCACCACAGGCCGACAAGCTCCAGACTCTCCTGACCGCCGCCAAGGTTCAGGAAGTTGAGCCCATCTGGACTTCCATCTTCGCCAAGGTAAATATCCGACACTTTTCGAACGACAGATAGAAGAACGCAAAGTCAGGATTCAGCAACTTACATTCCGATTTTACAGGCTCTTGAGGGCAAGGACATCAAGGAGCTCCTGACTAACGTCGGCTCCGCTGGTGCTGCCGCTCCCGCCGGCGCTGCTGCTGCTGGTGGCGCTGCTGCCCCCGCCGAGGCTGCTGCCGAGGAGAAGGAAGAAGGTAACGCTTCGATCCATGAAGAGTCTGCGAAGGTGCGCGGAGTGCTGACTTTTGCACACAGAGAAGGAGGAGTCCGACGAGGACATGGGCTTCGGTCTTTTCGACTAAGCGTCTTCACCCGTTTGGCTTTCCTAATTTCCTTTTTCACCTCATTTCTTCCATATCTCCTTTTCGCCCTCGCATTTCTTGTACCCCATACTACGCGACCGCACGATGATCAAAAAGGGAAATTCAAAAGGGATCAACGGACAAAGACATCCGGTGGGACTGGGCGCTTTGCTTGTATGATGGGTTCGATGACAGGTACTGGAACGGATGACGCTATGATTCCGGCCATCAGACTTCAGTCGTGGCACACCTATGGGTCGGGGGCGAGATCATGTTGGCCGTCCTCGTTTCTATATAAAATGTTCCCAGTTTAGCTAGTTTCGAGCTTAGGTGCCCAGATCTCATGCCATGTCTGTCATGCGACCATGAACAAAAGGTTTCTGTTTGCATTGTCTGTATAAAGCTATTCATAATTCCCGCCCACTCCCATTGCTCTAAAGTAAAAAAAAAAACACAAAGTCATGCATGATATAAATATAGTACAAACGCCATGCCACATGAGCCCCGCAACTTTGTTTGATATTAAAATAAAAAAACACTCGACACAACTTTTGATAAGTGTGATCACTAACGGAACGACGCCGCGTCCCCGTAAAGTCGATCAACGCGCTAAACTATTAGCGTGACTGTACCCTGGTCCTTGACAGTCATGGCCCTGCGGCTGTAGAGTCCGCAACCGCATAGAGACGAAATTGTATAAAAATCGTGATATCCTCGACCATCGTGCCAAGCGATCCGAGCAGCCAAGGTATATTTGTAACAATGTAGTTCTTCTCCGTTGAGTGACAAAGGATCTAAATTGTACATTGTCAGCCTCAAGTGACACCAAAACAATCGATCAGGAAATGAAAACCTACACCAGCGCCATAAGTCAAATTCCCCAACAGGGAGAGAATAAAGAATAAAAGCGAGAGTCCTGTAAAGTCAGTTAGCAGTGTATATGCGGTGCCTCGTGGTTAGGAAAATATATACCTTCGCAAGATTTGTCCTTCCAGTTTTTATAGATCTGCGGAAGACGTGCACTAACATTTGTCAGTCCTGAAAACCATTCCACTCGGTTACATTTCAAAACTCACCCCAGGTAGCAGATTGCGCTGAAATACCCAACCACCTGGGCTCCAACGGCTATCTCGGTACCCCCGGCATCATCCTGAGGTGCCGGCTGCCAAACACCAGATTGCCATGCGATCGTCCATCCACCCATTCCGATCACGCAGATAGCCAGAACGCTGCTGAAGTTCTTCACCCATGCACTACGACCGGCCTCGTTCTCCTCGACAATTTTCGCTAGTGTATCGTCGGGTCCAGTAGCATGGCCATCACGGTGTTGTGACGCCCATGACCGACGGCGCGAAGCCGGGCCTTCTTGAAGGCTATCGCTAAAGCGCCGGCCCAGCAACGGGGTGGTCGGATCAGGTGTTTCGACGGAAGAACGTCGACGATGGAAGGCCTGAAGACGCGAATTCCGCACCTTGTAGTAGAGGCATTGCCCAATAAGCACACCATCCGCAATACAGAAATAAACTGCGATAGCCACAATTACGGGAACCAGCCCGGCCCAAAGGCCTCCGATTAGGTTGGTTACGTCACCAACGAACCAAACGGCGAGAAAGACAAGAGAGATGGCCTCCGCATTGCCATTGCGATAATTCTCGATAAGTTGAGGTACCTGGCAAAAGGTAGTTTAGTTGGTTGTCTTCGCAGGGCCCTGCGAATCGCAGCGCGGTCGAGCAACGTAGCAGATAAACACATACCAGAACGAAGATCCAGCAGGTCAAAGAAATAGATCCCAAGAGCCCGGAGGCAGCTTCACGGGTGGTTAACGGTACGGGTTCTGCCGTAGCCATACTGACCTGCGACCACAGAGTCGGCATTTTCTTTCCTGAGTGAGTGAGCAATGGTTGAATCTGCCGGCGATCCGTGAGGAGAGATAAGGGAAAAAAAAGTTAGCTATCTCGCGAAGCGCTCGGATGTAACGTGATAGCACATGAGTCACTAATATAGTGCAGTGGCAAAGTCCAATCTGATGATTGAAATTTTCCCAATAGTCTTCTCATCGATCAAGATATGCAGTCCCACGCATGGGAGATGCAAATGTCAGGTTCGGATTAAGATTTTATTATAGTTACGGGTTGTTCCGCTGCCTCTCAGAGCAGGTTTTACTAAGCTGCGATCATTGAGAGGTAGCATCTTTTCACCCGCTTGATTGAACCCTGTCGAGTATTAAGGCCGATGATGTTTATTTTCTTTAGAAAAACAAAACAAGCAAAAGTAAAGGAACGTTTTTTCTTTTCTTTTCTTTTTTTGGTCCGATTCTAAATTTAACGGATGCGTGTAACCGAAAATGGAAGCTTGGACAATACCAGGCCCTGTTATGACGTTTTGCCCTAAAAGCTACCCCAGTTCTGTATATATAATCCCATACGTACGTAGTATACCCCACAATACAATACAACAAAACGAAGACACGGTACCAAGTACACCCAAAACATACGACTTTTCCTCTCTGTAATTTCTACATTATAATAACTACAATTCTGTTGTTCGTTCGAATCCAAGAGCTATAGGTGATTAGCGATGTAATCATGGTATATCATTTTGTCACTATACACACAATGAGGGTGATGCAATCACACATCCTCATCTTCATCATATTCTAGTAGCTGAAGTTCATCTTCCAACAAATCGATCGCCATCTCACCCGTAGAGTCCCGAATCGGACCGTGGAGTAACCGCTGTCGAGTCTCCGGCTGGAGGGCGTCCAAGGCATCTACATACTCAGTCAAGGGAGAGTAGTCGACGACCTCCCCCCAGTTACCGCGATCGACACCATACTGGCGTAAAAATGCTTCCAGACTGTGAAGACCATCTGCCAGGAGCCACTGCTCAAGTTGTGGCTGCTGATCAGCGCTAGGGTGTGGACGTGTGGGATTAATCTCGTCTTCACCCTCACCACTCGGTCCGTTTTCGTCATGCACTTCTTCTCCACCCTGGAACCCAGGGAAACGAATAGCGCCATTGTTCATTTGATCCAGAAGGTCCCGCAGCCACTGTGGCGACCAGCCTCTGGCACTCGAGACAAATACGATGGGGTGGGATCCGACTGTTGGCGGAAGGCCTCTGAGTCATAGGGAGGGAGCGGATCGGACGCTGATATCCGCCCAGAGACAAAGCGTGTGGGTAGATGCGTTGTGACTTTAGGGATGTCTGAAAGCACCACATGGCGGGCAATATCGAGTGTGATCTCAGGAGGCTCAACTGGTTCTTCCTCTTCTACCAAGGTATCTGCGACTTCCACGATCAACGAGACTGCCTCGGGTGTGTTCCAAAGATCCTTGGCACGGACAATGTAGAGTTCAGTGAGCAATTCATGAGCGTCAGTCGGAGGCATCTTGCCCCAAACCTGCTTAGGCATGGGCTGGATATCAAGCTCCTGCGCTAGCTTGCAAAACACCCATGGATAGCGAGCCATGGCGAGACGAAGCTGCTCTCTACATTCCTTAGGCTTGTTCAACCGGAGGTATGCCAATGCAAGTGAGCATTGGATATTTGGCAGAGAAGCCCATTCCTCTCTCAACCGGGTTTGTGTACAAAGTTCGATAAAATGGGAGTACTCTCGGCCCCTAAGGGCCAGGTGATCGATCAGAAGTCTGATACAGTATGGATCACTGTCATTAAGGCCCAGTAACATCTTAGCCCACTCATAGGCTGTCCTCCAGGTTCCTTTCATTCCCAAGTTGGCAATGTATCTCCAGCCGACGAGCCACAACTCCCGGTTCGCCATATGCGCAAAATCCAGCCTTGCTTGACCTTCCTTGAGACTGGTACCAAACGATGAGTGAGCCGACCGCCCAATGTTGAAAAGCGCACGTTCAAGGAGATCAGCGGAAACAGCGTGGTCACTTTGGTGCTTGGCTATTTCGGAGACTTGGAGCAGAGTCGAAATATGGTACGGATTATATTGTAGTAGGTGAATCATTCTCTGAGGGTCCATTGACTCCACACACATATCGAACTGCATCTGCACGTCCTTATAGGAAGCGTTGTGAATAATCCGATAGACCGTAGGACCAGTTGATGATTTCTCTACCAGCTCCATCCCGAGGCCACCACTAGGGGTGCGAGGCCATTCATCCTTGCCCTGCATCAGGACGTTGCGCCGCAGCGTGACGCCAGCTAAACTCTGACCTCTACTCGCAGGACTATATTTGCCAGTCAATGCGCGACCGAGGTCAATCGTTTCCCGGTTCCTGTCTCTTCTGCGGCCTGCGCCAGCATCCTCTTGATCAAAGTTTTCCAACACAACATTACCAAACAACTTTCGCATTTCATTCGTTGCATTGAGAGACTTCGGATCGACGGCGAGAAGCTCCGCCGGAGTCTTTGGAAACGAGGATTCGCGATCATTGCCCGTTGCAGCCGTCGTGGCATCGCCTTGTGCGGAACGGTTATTGTCGACAGCTAGCTCCCTCAGTGCTCGATCAATCTCGTCTAACTCTTCATCATCTGCCTTGGTATTCGCTGTTGCTTCATCGGTGGCTTTCGAAGAAGCCTTCTTCTTCTTGTTTTTCCTCTTCTTCTTTTTCTTGGAATCTGCCGATTTCGCTGGGACAGGTATATCTTCCGTTGGCTGCGTCACCGGCTCGTGAGCATCGTTGTCGGACTCTTGCTCTTCTTCATCGGCGGCATTCAGTAAATCAAAGGCGTTCAACTTCGGCTTTGAAGGCTGGGATACGGGCTCATCTTCGCTTGACTCATCGTTTTCTTCTGCTTGTAACGATGCTTGCTGCAACTCTTGTTCGCGCAGCTTTTGCAGCTTGCGAAGTGCGCGGGAGGACATTCAGGGCTGACCGCAAGGTTGTCTAAATCGGCCAAGTGTAGTGTGATCGTCGAGGCCCGCGCGGGGAATTGGTGAGTTGGTTTTGTGATGTATAAGTAATAAAAAAAGCGCTTTTTGTTCATTTACAACCGCGGGGAATGACGACACAGTCGATTTGGGATTAGCGCGGGACATCGTTTCGAGGTTACAATACGAAGACAAAACGATACGATATCACATGATAAACCGTCACCCTTGCATGCCTGGATGCCTGGGTCCGACTAAACCCCGAAAGGTCTCCGCCATTAGACTAGTAAATAGCTTGTGTCATCATACTGTCTCCCTCCAGCGCTGCTGGACCCTACAACTCTCTATACTACATTATTTACTCACCTACTCGATGCGACGTGCAGCTCTTCACGCTTTCCGTAGCGCGCGTCGTGTACCGGTATGGAGAGTTGCTGGTAGGAAACCGCGTGCTGTGTCGTTCACTAGCAGCCATTCTCTAGCTCTCCGACCGTCCTCCGCCGGGAAACATCCTCCTATCATTCCCGCGACCCTACACTCATCGATGCATCTCCGCAACTTTTCGCTTGCCGTGATATCGACGGTCGTTGCATCCGGGGCCTGGTACGCTTATCAGGGCAGCAGTTCTCAGTCGGCAGCAGTAGCGGGCTTGAACCGGACCATATCTACTTCCACCACGGCTTACGCTGAGGATCCCTCGGAGCCAACCCGTCGTGCGCTTCTGGTGGATAATGATCAGTTTTATACCGCTACTATCAACGGAGAAGAACCGCTTCGTAAACAGACGGACGACTCTGATCGCCGACTCCTAGAAATGTTGACGCCAGAGCAAGCTACGCAGAAGCTGAGGAAGAATGAAGAGTCGTACTTGGTTCATCGAGGCAAGGGTGTTATTCGCTATGACGTGGTGCAAGTGCCTAGTAACTCGCCAATTGAAGACGATCATGCCGAAAAGATTGTAGAGGTGCCGTCCACAGTAGCTACAGCGAAAGAGGGCGAAGCCAACAGCGACTGGATGTTCTGGGGCGTGTTCGACGGGCATTCGTACGTGTATCCACCTTTATTCGCTGATAAATATGTATAGAACTGACTGGGTTACAAGTGGCTGGACGACTTCCGCTAAGTTGCGAAATGTTCTCATCTCCTACGTGGCTCGGGAATTGAACACCACTTACAAGGCTGCGGCTGCTGATCCTTCGCTACTCACACCTACCCCTGCCGCTATCGACGCAGCTATTAAGCAAGGATTTACCCGATTGGATAATGATATCGTACACAACAGTGTCGAAAAGGTACTCAAGTCTAACTCGCGGAGGGTTGCAGCCGAAACACTTGCTCCCGCTCTGTCCGGCTCTTGCGCTCTTCTTGCCTTCTATGACTCCCAGTCAAAGGATTTGAAAGTTGCTTGTGCGGGTGATTCTAGGGCCGTCCTTGGTCGTCGTGGCCCGAACGGCAAGTGGTCTGCAACCGCGCTGTCGGAAGACCAGACCGGCGGGACTCCTTCCGAAATGCAGCGTCTACGGGCCGAACACCCTGGAGAGCCTAACGTTGTACGGAATGGAAGAATCCTAGGCCAACTGGAGCCTAGCCGATCTTTTGGGGATGCGTTCTACAAGTGGAGCAAAGAGACTCAAGACAAAATCAAGCGGCAGTTCTTCGGAAGAACACCCCACCCTCTGCTGAAGACACCACCCTATGTCACCGCTGAGCCTGTCATCACTACCACCAAGGTCGAACCTAGCCGGGGAGACTTCCTCGTCATGGCTACTGACGGTCTCTGGGAGATGCTGAGCAACGAGGAAGTCGTCGGACTTGTCGGCCAGTGGATCGAGCAACAGCAGGCTGGAAATGTGGGCGGCAACAAGACGTGGCTGAAGAGCTGGCTTGGTTTCGAGAGCAAACAGCTTCCCGTTGAGACATCACAAGAAGCGGGAACCGAAGGCCAGCGCCGTCCCATCCGCCAACAGCAGTATGATATCTCAGGCGTCGCCGACCGATTCACAGTCGAAGACAACAACGCCGCCACCCACCTCGTGCGTAACGCCATGGGCGGCAAGGACAAGGACATGGTTTGCGCACTACTGACCCTCCCTAGCCCATACTCCCGTCGTTATCGGTACGTTGCAGTTGCAGTCCCACTCCCACCCAACACCAGAAACAAACTAACATGAAATACAGCGACGATGTTACAGTAGAGGTTATCTTCTTCGGCGAAAGCCCCGACACCCGCACCGTCGAAATCAACAAGGAAGCCAGCGCATCCGAAGAAAACCCTAGAGCCAAGCTCTAAACCATCCCAGAGAGACTAGAACTGACATCAATGACGTAAGACCTTACCATATACTTGCTTTTCTTATCGTACGGGTCCCATATCCATATGATCCATTTCGTACTCTTTTCATTTCTTCTTCTATTTTCATGTCCTCGAGCACTTAGTATGTGCATGCTAGATGATCGTAAGATCTGGCGTTTTTTTTTTTTTTTGGTTTTGGGTGGTGATCTACTATGTGAATATCAGCTAGAATGGCACATCTCTTTGGAATGATATATCATCTCTTCAGTGTACTATATCTATGTATAACGGTAGAATAGATGTGCCCTTTACCTCACAAACACCACTCTATGAGCGCATGAACCTACTCTATATATCTAGAGTAATCGAACAGCACCATAGCACAGTAAAGTACCACACCCAGACCAGAGAAAACCAGACCAAACTAGCAAGCGACAAACGCACCCCTTAGCCTGATAGTATCCTTGAACGTTTTCCATGGTGGTCCCGGCCATCAGATGTTGTATATTCTGAAAGGTCAGCATATCACAAGGGAAAGCCTCTGAAATCTTGGAGTTAGCTAGAGTTACTACCCGTGAAAATATGCTGCATTATTCTGCCCATTTTGAGACTTGAATTATTATTATTATTATTTTTTTAATTGGTAGAGATAGAGGGGATCTAGCTTATCAGTAACGGGCGTCGTTCTAGTTACATACGAGGTTCGGGTGCCCCAGTAGTATGGACGGAAGTTTACAGGATTTGCGTATTTTGTTGACTGGATTTTATGTTGATTATGTTCAAATTTTGAGATATCAAATGAGCTTATATATACAGACGGTATGATATATACATGAATAGAAGAAAGAAGGTAAGTAAATCGCTTGGTCCACGCCCAAGTCGGTTGTTCGTATCCTTCTTTCACATGCCAACTGGTGCAGGTAAGGATAGACCTGCTGATAGTCCTTTGAGCGAGCCACTGGCCGAAGTTTGGGCAAGTAGAAGATGAAGCCGCTGCGGGGAGTGTGTCACTTTGCGCACAGGCGTATTGATTTCGACGGGGCATTTGGATGCGGACATGACCGCCCTCGTGTCTGACTCGCGTGACCCTGAAATGGCGGCATAGATGTCTTTTCGGACATCATGGAGCGATTGGTCTGGACCCCATATAGCATGTGAGTCCTAGCGGAGCGAAAGCGGGCCTTTCCTATTGTTGGCCCATTTGGCAAGCTCCATACTGACAGATGCATCTCTCTTGAATCATCCAGTAATCACTCCTAGTGGAGTCCCTTGAATCCCTTTGCGTCCGTCATAGTAGCTCTGTAAATTGAGTCCTCTGGAGCGCACGCTTTGTTTGCAGTGTACCCGATATGCATCTGTTTCCAGGGCTTTAGTGGTTCCTTCCTGAACATGCACTTGTCTAGGAAAACGGTTTGCAGGGTGGCAATGTTCGTACTGGTGACCCAGTAGAGCAGAAGTGCCGCGGGCATTTCATAGTAGTAAGACGAAAGACCGACATTCAGCGCCAGAACCTGAATGAAAGCCCTGATTCCGCGCACGGTCAAAGCCCTATAGAGCTCTATCTTCGGCAAATCGGCCATCTGCGAGAATTTCTTGGCTTTCCAGCCGGCGCTGATGTTGAGCAGGATAGACATGGTCAATGCTGCCGGCAGAATACCCGTCGTGTCGCCTGCTAGTAGATCCGGAAACCAAAGTGCGCCCTCCGTCGCTAGGGAGGGCTCGACCTCTAGATGGAGACGAGGGGCTCCTGACGAAGAGGTAGGCTCGACGAGGGACAGAAGATACGGAATAAGACCCTTGTCATTTCCAGACATGGCTCGGAGAGCCTCCATGACTGATATCCAAATGGGAATTTGGAGAAAGTTAAGTGGCTTCCAGAACTTTGGGATGTTCCATCGCTTTCTCAAGTCCGCATGTTTCGATTTCATACGTTGCGCCAGCATAGGAGTAGCGGTCGAAAGGTTTTGGATGTCATTAACGTCGTCAACTTTGAACTTGTTTCTCAATATATCGTCCTTGTAGTACTTCTTCCAGGAAGAGAGAAGTGGAACCAGATCCCGCTCTTTGCGCGCTTGGATCTTAGTATATATCTGTAGAGGCATTGCGACGGTTGATCGAACGATCAATGCGGTCAATGGAATGGATACTGCCCATGACAGTCCACTGATTGAATGGACACCCTGTATGAATGTGGACGAAGCGTCTAATAGTTCGTTAACAAAAGGCGACGGTCTTGTTGGGTGGAAATGCCGGATTTGCTGCAAAGTCGTCTTCCGCGGCGCGCGGAGTGAGCGATGGAAAGGCCTCATCTTGCCGGCCAATGGCTTGCTGGTTGCTTTATTAGCGTCCGATATGGGCGATAGCACAAGATGCGGAGAAGAGGAAGCAAAGAAAAGAATATATATCTATAAAGTACAGTAGTAAAGGCAATTGCGTTGTTAGAGAGATCTCCGGATACACACCAGAAAAACAAAAGAACAAATCATGTGATTATATGTCACATGAATATCGAATAAGGTCATACGATACAATACCATACCGAACGGTTTCTGATCGGCACGGACTCCGAGTCGGCTTATCGATAGTGAAACAACCAAATAATCGCCAGCTGTTTGTTCCACAGCTCCTTGCAGTAGTACCTGCGCGCCGCCCAACGTACGGATGATACAATAGTTATGTTCGTTGTCTCTCGCTAGCCATG